AAAAGTTGCACATCTAACCAATTGTATACTCTCCTGTAATAGTTCATAGAATCACATTACTAATGAAATCATTAATAAAAGTCAAAAGATCAAAGAGGTCATCTTAACAAAAAAAAAAAAAAAAATTAATGGATCTAATATTAGATTGATTATGACTTTAGTAGCAAATGGACTCATAATTTTTAATACTAAATAATTTACAAATTTGGTAATTTACATATTAACAATCTCAATAATAGATAAGTTTATGTCAATATTAGATAGGTTTCTGACTTCAGAATTATATAGGATTTAATTCATTATTTGGTATTAAATTTTTAAAAATTTTGAAATTATCACAATTCAGCTAACATGATAAACGATAAAGATGGTGAGCAATTACTGAAAATATAATTTATAAAATTTATAAACTTATTATTCGATATTGAGATATCCTAATTCAGTGAGTCTGTTGCTAATCGAAGGTCAATTTCGTGTAATGTTTAGATGGCTTTCGGTCAAAAGAGGTGTGTAGATTTGACAAGTGATTTTGATTCGGGTCTGGCTTATCTTGGATAGTCTACACTACATCAAGACTATCACTTTAACTCTTCTACTATTGCAGTATTCCACACTACTTCGGGAATACTAGACTAATGGGGGTGGGATTTATTAATATTATGGGTAAGTATTTTATTATGATGATGATTCTCTACAGTCACTCATAGAAGAACCTTTCTTTGATGTATGCAAGGTAAGTTGTTTATTATTTCTTATGTTCAAATCCGCCCTATTACTAGGACGAAATTACAGGTTATTTATAAGCAAAATTCTATCTATTGTTAGGGTGCCGATATCTATTATCGCGCTTATAATGATGATAGCGCTTATATCGCATATATTGATTATACTGATTATAATCAATATATGCAATATACGCATTATAATCATTATAAGCACGGGATTCCAACTTTGGTGAGATCTTCCTAGCCGAGGCAAAATCGTGACTACCGATCGTGCGACGATGATCTTACGACGAAATCGGCGATTAGTTGATTACGTGTTCCGGGTCTAACAATATATATAAGTTTCATATTTCATTTAGGGGTGCCAGTGGCGCCTCACTAACACATGTAGTTAATATTTTAGTGCTAATATAATTTTAAAAATATTATTGTATAAAAAGCCACAATCTAGATTTTGTTTCCAGAATAAACTAAAAGATATGCGATATTTTCGACAGAATCCAAAAGTTCTGAATCTACCGCTTTATAAATAATTTGTCCAGTATTGGAATTGACGTTAACAAATCCATGTTTACAATCTGGACAATTCTTAAAAAGTTGGCTTACTAACATCAAATAATCGTTCGATAATATTCTAGGTTCAATTTTAGCGTATGATATTTTTTCCTGCTCAGAAATTTTCCATTTAACAGACTTTTGACCAACTTTGAATTCTTCATGATTATCAACGTCGACAACACTATTATAAAGTACATATTTAAAAATGATATTACAAACTAATAATGATAAAACAAATTCTTGGCTTACCATGTGTATAACGCTAAGTTTTGCAGCACAGTTTCGTCAATAGGTCTGCCTGAATCTTGAAGATTATAAACAAACAAGCACGCTGATTCTTTATAAGTTGAGAAATGTGTACCAACAATAACTTCCGTTGTTTTTGGATCATATTCTATGTCATATGGAATGATCTCTGTAGATTCTGTAGAACCCACAATCCTTACTGGGTTTAGATGTGAATTTTCTTTTTTCGTGAAATCAATGTTGCTTAAAGAGCTTGATTGAGAATCAGCTTCTAATGCGCAAATGCCCAAAATGCAATTTTTGTAATTATTAATTTTTACGGTCCAATGATTCTTTTTTACCGATACCATTTGTTTCATACTTCTAAATACTAACGGATATTGGACATTAAAATCGAAGTTTGTAAGTGGACCAACAATAATCCATCCTAGTTTAATTATACAAGTTGTAGAACTGGAATTTTCCCTTTTAATATTGTGAACAACAATTACTGGGGTATTTTTATCTTTGTTCACATAATCTATATGAACAGAAAACAAATTTTTATCACTTTTGCTCATTATTGATGCAAAAATTTGATAATTATGTATATTTCCAATTTCCATTATATAAGGTGACAAACTATGAATATATGGAGAAATTTGATTCGTAGAATATTTCAATTCAAAATGAACATCCTCAATACCTGCTAAATTTATAAAAGCTTTGCGATATAGTGAATCCAGTTATTTATATTTGAGGGAGTCAGTAGTAAAAGTTTGGGTCAAATATAGTATAAAGGACACCAAAATTTTTTGAACTACCAATCCAAAATTAATAAACAATATACTTTATTTTAACCTATAATTAGATAAAAATAAGTAAATTTTGGTTTGGTAGTTGTTGAGCTATTTTAGCTAAACAATACTTGAAAAAAAAATTGTCCAATTCTATTAACTCCCCCATATTTAACTTATTGTTAGAAGAAATATTTTACCTTTTAAAATTCGTTGTCCCAAAGCATTCAAAACTTTATCTTGTAAATTTTTATCCAATAATTCAAACACAGAATAAATTTTGTCATATCCAATTATTTTCCAGGTAGATGCATCTTTAAGAGATTCATCCCAGGATTTTATGCCTTCTTTAAGGGTAGAGGGTATGTAGATCATTTTTATATAGTTTTATATGGTATTTTGAAATTTTCATATAAAATTGGAATATACTACTTATAAAACTTT